CAGGAAAACTGAGGACCGGCCCAGCAAAGACTGCAGAATCCTCAGAAGCTGTAACACCAATTACATCTGTAACTGGGAATGGCTGGGAGTAAATAAAATAATAAGTCTGGGGAGCTCTTTGGCAAGCAGTTGGGCTCCTGCCCCCCCCCCCCCCCCCCCCGAAAAGATGAAACAGACGGTCACTGGCCTGTGGGTTGGGCACTATGCACTCAGTGTAGAAACTCCGGGCCCTCTTCTCACCACTCAGGACACTGGCAGCTGGACCCTGAACCCCAGGTAGGAAGTTGAAAACTCCCCCTGGAAAACCAGCTAAAGAAGAAAAACCACCATACAAAGAAGCAGCCCTCCAAGGTGACCTTCAGTGACCAGCCCTGCCCATAGCTCTCTAATCCCTGCTCTTACCCAAGAGCAGACAGTCAAGGATTTCCAGGTGACTGAGGAAAGCCTCTATCAAGAACAACAGACATCCAAAGCACGGTGGAGGAAACACATCAGTCGGGGAGGAAAAAAAACGAATCCAATCATTCTGACAACACCCGCATGCTTCCGTGTCATGGGAACAGGGGGCTATAGCAGAGCATTCAGAGAAAAAACCCAAACATGTGCTCCCGAAACATACCAGCACAAATAAGTCGCGAAAACTTCTGACAGTGGAGCAAACAGACAAAGAAATAAAAAATAGATCTGAGGGAAAAAAGATTAAAGCCAGTTTAGAAGTACCATAGCCACAGAGTCACAGATCAAGAAGGTAAAAGAGAGAAAAGAGGTGGAAGACATTGTATTAAAAGAAATATCCCAAAATTAAAGGCATGAGTTGCAAATGGCAGAACTAACCAGTGTTACAGAGGAAACTAGATGCCCACCAAAGCATGCCACTGTGAAATCTCAGAACAGTGGAGAAAAAGGAATGTAAGTTTCCAGAGAAGGAGAGGAAAAAATGGAAGGAATGCCTCCAAACTCTAACTGAGAATTCTGTTCCCAAACAGACCATCAGTGAAGCAGGAGGGTAGAACAAAGACATTTTCACTCACTTGAAGTGAGAAGAAATGCTGTGGGCCGACGTCACTAATGGCTTGTCACGTTTTATCGACTGTGTAATCTGAGGACCGCATGCCAGACCCAGTCTGTTAACAGCTGGCTTATTCTGACCACATACTAAACAGGTTCCCGGTCCCTGCTCTAGGCCCAGCTTCCTGGAGCAGACGAGAATGATCCATCTCCTGCATAGAAATGCTGGGCTTGGGCTTGTTCCTGAGCTGGGGTAAGAAAGGAGCAGAAAATATAAACCCACTGACTCCTATTCACATTCCCGTCCACTACCTGGAGTTCACGCTACAACTCTGGCAGATGCCCAGGCTAGGATACCTGCTTTTCTTAAGATCAGCTCATGACTTTACCTACTCAGTTCTCTTGTGAACGGAGGAAAGGGGAAGCCAGCTGATGACCCACACACAGTCCAGCCATCTTCCCTGAAACAATTGGGATTGTACTTGCTTCCTATGTTGTCAAAAGTAAATAGTATCACACTTAGGAAAACATACATGGGTGGTAACACTACAAGAGAAGCAAGGAAATGATTCACACAAAGGCAGGGTGACTGTGACCTGGCAGAGTCAGCAGAGAGGGTGAGGGGTGAGGGACGGGCAATGGAGGCTTCTATGCTGGGCCACCTCTGGTGCCTACACTGGAGGGTGGGCATTTGTATTTTCATTCTATTACTCTTTAAACTCCTCACATGTGTACAGTATGTTACCAAATACAATTTATTTTTCCAGGATGAAGGACAGGATCAGATCTGTACATTTAAAATATCCCTAAGGCCGCTGTAAAGGAAGTGAATGTGAGCTGCGGAGGTCACGGGAGTCCTGAGAGTCAGCTGGATTGAAAAGAGGCAGTGGAGCTAGACAGGTTACAAATGAGTAAAATGCTATTTTTCTTTATTATTATTATTATTTTCTGCAGGAGAGGATATTATCAGAAGAGAGAGGGAGTGAGGGACACAGTGAGGAAGGGAGGGGAGAGAGAAATAAGAGTTATTTGGTCAATTAGCAAAAAAAAAAAAAAAGCCCAAGATAATGTTCATTGTCAGTGATCACTATTGCTAACAACATATTATCTTTAGACTGCTCCTCTAGTATAGTAGGCTCAAAATACTGTAAAGGCCATCATTCAATTAAACCTCAGAACACAATTCTATGACTAGTATCAAAAGAGGTCTTTATAAGTCCAATGATACAAGCATGAAAAGTGCTGATCAAGAAGGTTCAGGATTTGCTGTGACAGGATAAAATGCTGGGTGAAGACTTCAGTATAAGTAACATTCAGGATGCCAATGGCCCAGCCCAGCCTTAAACTCTTGCTGCATGTGGTACCTACACACCATTTTAATTTCATTTTCCAGATGAAATTTCCATGGCACTGCAGAAATGTGCCCTCGGAACTGAAAGCCCACCTATGTAAGCCTTCTGCAACCACACTGAGTATTCGAGGGAAGAACGGGGGATACAGCTTTCCCACATGTTCAAGTTCCGAATAAGAAGAGGTTGTTTTATGGCTTCCTCTGACCTGAGTAGATCATTCCAGCCCATAACTTAATATTCTACTTCACATAAGTTTTAGGCATGATTTTAAAAGTGTTGAAAATCTGACTATACATCTCTGTCGGGGTATCTTCCTTTCATATTCTATCACTCCTAGAAGTAGGAGAACCTAACACCCAATAGGTACTCACACTATTTCCTGAGCCATCAAGGAAATTGAACCATCAAGACAAGCATCAGTTTCTATTATTTTTACTAAACAAAAACCAAAAAGAGAGTTGCTCTATTTTCTTTGTTTCTTTGGTAAGAAGAAGTGAAAATGAGATACATTATGGGGAAAAAAAAGTAAACCTAAAAAAATTTTCAAATCCTATCTTGTAATATGAGTCTTTGTGAAGATTACAAAGCATAGCAAAACATTTAAAATGGAAACTGGCCAAGAAGGTAGCTTTTTAAATAGTGGGAAATGATTTGATATAGGAAGCTCCCTCCCCCCGCCCCCCCATTTATTCTTGAACAAGAGTAGATAAATTGCAATGAATTCCCATCTTACCTTAAATACTTCCATTGGAAGAGGAAACTTTGCAGCATCAATAAGGGATTTTTCCAGAGCATATTTCCATTCAGAGGCCATCTTCAAAGGATAGATTTCTGTATCAACAGCAAACCACGTAAGAGTTAAAGGACTAAAATGTTCTACTGGGTGGTTCTTTCTTGAATTTAATCTTCCCAGGATTTCATAATAAGCCAGTATGCTCAGCAACCACAAGTATTCACACCCTGTCCGCCATAAAAGGCCACCTGCTAAAGGGATTTTCTGAAGTTAAATAGCAACTTGGGATTCTGCTTTCAGAAATGAAGAATAAACTTAATAGGACTCTTCTTCAGGAAACATTTGTATGCATTCTGCTGGCATTCTGTAAGTAATTTAATGGTATAAATCACATTAGCAACATCTTCAGCCGTCCACTGCCCCAAATTCCGTATATTACCTGGGAAGTAATATCCACTGATGAAGAACTTATTATCTGATAAATGGCTAAACTAGAAATGACTCTTGCCTGGCATTTTCAGTTATTACAGCATATTTTTCACTAAGTCCCTAAGCTCTCATATGCTAAAAATAGTCCATGTAAGTCAGAAAATTATTAAAAGGTAAATTAAAATTTACCAACCAAGTTTAATATTTACACTTGATATGTTGCAAAGGCACCACATGTCGCCCACAGTTTTCCCCAGGCAGTAGGGGGAGAGAGATTTACAAATGGAAGTTACACTGTCTGAATGCAAAATTAAAAGAAAAAATTGGTTGCGCACTGTTTGTTGTTCACCGATGGCTGAAACTGCAGGGGAATTTTATGATCTGATCTCAACAGATTTAAGACCTTATCAAAACAAGATTTGCAGAAGCACTCACTTGAAGTAGATATGTTTATATCTTCCCTATATCAACCCCAGCTACCTCAGACAGACAGTTAGGATGTGAATATGAATCTAAGTACAGTTAAAAGGCAACATTAAACCTTTGGGGCTATATTTTTAATTTCTTGCATGTCTGCTTTTTAGCATGGTGCCATATATTTTGATTCTCACCGCTTCTGAACTCACCTTGAGCTTGAAGCCCCTGTGTTTTAGCAGTTTATTTAGTCTTTTCAGACTACCCTAATTATGGTAGGCAAAGGATGCTGCCAGAACTAGCCAAGTCATCAATGCTCTGCCCAAATCATTCACTGTCAGTTACACAAAGGCACAGAAAGGGGTATTAATGACTAAATAGGTTCCATTGTGTATAGTGTCTAAAATCCTTTCTAGCATTTAATTCATCATCTTCTACCTCTGGGAATTCCCCCCCCCCCTAATTTGGCATTTCTATATCGGAACAAAATAGAATGTGATTCTCCTTAGGAGTGCCTAGAATATTTGGGGGAACACAGTGGGGCCCCAATGATACCTCTGCAAGGAGAATAAATGATTCTTCTAACCTCCCAGGTGAGAAGCGGGTACTGTGTGAGAAATGGCTTATCACAGGGTCCCACAAGGAGAAAAAGAGAGGAGTTCACAGAAATCCATAAATACTTCCATGATAGGTAGAAGGATTGCTTGTAGTGCCCCAGTGGTTCGGTTCAGGGGCCTGGCATCAAAATCTCAGTGAAGCGGATGGCAATTCTGAGGTCTCCAGTGGACAAAGCCCAGAGGACACCCACTGCAGCCATTCAATAGGGCACGGAGGTTAGCAACAAGCAAGAGCCTGCAATCCTGAGGAGACAACACATTCACTCTCCCAGGGGCCTGGAAGAAGGTTAGTAGGGAGTTCCACCTTAGCAAGGTAGTAAAAGGAGAACCGAGTCACAAGAAAGGATGGCGATTTCCAAAGACAAGATCAAAGGAAAGGTCTGCAGGCATAAAGGGTGGGGGAAAAAGAGAGAGAAAAGTCAACCGTGTTGATGCCCTGAGCTTTAAACGGGGGTGGGGGAGAGATAAGAGGGTAAAAAAATGACTCAGAGTTGGGAACAATGAAAGCCCAAATGGCCAGGGTTAGATCCAAACTACCAGAACTAAGGGAAGTGGTGTGCAGACCCCAAGTCATCCCAGATGCTCACCAAGTCACCCAGAAAGCTGAGCCCTCAGTCACCAGATGCCACCTCTCACCCATCAAACCAAAGACAATGTAACAAGAAGCCCTGTGAGATGAACGGAATGTTTGCATCCCTGCTCCCAGATCCCTATGTTGAAATCCTGACCCCCAATGTGGTATTCAGAGGTGGAGCCTTTGGGAGGTATCAGGTCATGAGGGTGGAGCCCTCAGGTTGGCATTAGTGCCCTTATAAACACACACACACACACACACACACACACACACCCTAACCCCTTGTACCATGTGAGGACACATAAGAAAGCCATCTATGAACCAGGGAACAAGGCCTCACCAGACACCAAATCTGCCCTTGACTTGATCTTGGACTTCCAGCCTCCAGCACTGGCAGAGGTGTTGTTTATAAGCCCCCTCATCTGTAGAGTTCTGTTATAGCACACAAAATGGACTGAAAAACCCGGGTTCCACATGATTTTTGCCTCTGTCCTACAATCTTATTCTTTGTCTTCTTTCTGAGGTTAATAAATCCTAACATGGAATTTAACCCCATGGCAAGGCACACTTCTTCTCTTAAAAGGTGAAAATCAACTTCAGTTTGTCAGTGTGCTCAACACCTGCAAAAGCTAAACACCTAGTGGTTTCAATAAGCAGAAAACCATATTCCATGTGTGCGTTTCATTAGACGAGAGGCACATGGTTATATTGGCCAGTTTATGGACAATAAATAGCACCCTTAAAAGAACATAAAACCTTTTATTAAAATGATCGTGTTGCAGGTAATTTAATAGGGTGTATCATGTCAATTTCTATTGGTGGGGAAGTCATAAAGCAATTAAAATCTGTCCTGATTCATCTTTAACTAGAAGCTAAGTGAATATGAGGCGATTTCCCTTTGTGCAAGTGTTTGGCAGGCTGACTCGCAGTAAGTGCTGTGGGAAGCGGAGTGCACAAAATCACTTTGAGGACAGATGCCTTTCTCCCACACACCCCGAAACCTGCACTCCTTCCTTCTCCACCAGGTTCTGACCAGTGAGGGAAGACCAATCTAGGGTTGTTAACAGACACTGGAAAGTGTTATGGGCTGAATGTTTGTGTCCTCTCAAAATTAATGTGTTGAAATCCTAACCCCCCACGTGACAGTATTTGGAGATGGCGCCTTTGGGAGGAAACTGGGTTATGTGAGGTCATGAGGATGGAGTCCCATGATGAAATTAGAGCCCTTTAAAAGAGGAGACCAAAAGCATTTTCTCTCCCACCTCCTACACACACACACACACACACACACACACACACACACACACAAAACGAGGCAATGTGAGGAATGAGCAAGAAGGAGGCCATCTACAAGCCAGAAAGAGAATCCTGACCAGACCCAACCATGCTGACACCCTAATCTTTGAATTCCATTCTCCAGAACTGGGAGAAAATAATTTGTGTTGCTTAAGCCACCAGTTTATGGCACTTTGTTTTTGCAGCCTGAGCTGACTAATACTGAAAGCAACAGTTCTTTGGGGACTAAGAAGAGGTTCAGACAAGAAAGGGTTAAGTTAGATGCAAAAACTTGCTGACTCCAGGATCTATCTAAAATAATTAAGAAAAAAATTATAAAGGTTGACATAAAGATTTTGAAGGGAAAAAATTTTAGAAGTAGAGATTTAAGAAAACTAAATATTTTATCTTCTTAGCTTCTGCACATGTAACTCTCTTGCTTTCTAAATATCCAGAAATATGAAAGCAGGTGGGGCCTCCAAATGACCTGACCTCAATGACTTAAATTTTTTAGAGAACCGGATATAACCATAATACCCTGACCATAGATTGAATACCAATAGTAAATGACAATCACCTGAGATACCAATAACACTCAGCAGGCAGTAGACATATAGCTATCCCCATTATACAGATGAGGAAATTGGGGTTCAAAAAGTAAAGTCACTTGCCCTGTAGCTAGTGACAGAAACAAAAGGAAAAGCTAACAAACCCTGACTCCAAGTTCATGTTCTTCCTATTTTGCCAGGTTTTTCCATCTGAATCATTCATGGGCCCTTTTAAAAGAACAAAAACTTTCATGGACTTCACAGACCATATTCCTGCACATCTCATATGTCCTAGAGCACCAGTACTTGCTCTGACCCTGTTTTCAAAAGCTCTCCTAACATATCAAGAGCAAAGAGGACTCTACAGTCCTCATCATCATTTTGGGGGTGTCTTTACCCTGAGCCCTTCCCTACAAATTCCTTCCCCAAACCCTGCCAATTATTCTGGCCCCTAGAAAGTGGACTTGGCTAGTTCCTTTCTTCTCTATAGACATATTTGACTTTTTATTCAGTCAATACATATCACCCAAATATTTCCTGAGGGCCTACTATGTGCCAGACACTGAGCCAGATACTCGGGAGTTAGCAGTTTATAAGGCACCAACTTGAAGTTAAAGGGAGTGGTAAAACCCTCTCATGATGGGAATGAAGTGAAAAACTGGGCCACACCATCAGCATTCTCAAAGGGGACGTGCTTGTAAGCCCCGGGAAGAGAGGACCAATTGCTGGAAAATAAATGAGTGGCGTGTGTTGGGGATATGAGGCTGGAGAAGCTCTACAGCTTCCCTTCCATCCAGCACAGAAGTCAAGGCACTGCCCAGGCTGCCAGTCCTCTCATCATAAAGGCTGACGCACTTGGACCTTAGGAAGCCTCTGCCCCTTCCATGAATATTCACATCTTACCATTTCCTCTTCCTTTTACCCTTTGTTCACTGAGGCTAGATTCAGCCTGCTCTGTTCACACCTGCGTGACACCTTGACAGTGTGTGTGTGTGAGTGACAGCTGTGTGTGTGAGTGAAGTGGGGTGGCTTCTTTCCCTCTTTCTATCCTCCCCACCCCAAACCATTTCCTCTGATTCTCGGCAGGAAAAAAAAAAAGGTGCAATGGCTATAGGTTTCTCACTGAGGACAGTGTAAAACCCAGCACCTCTTCCTTCAGTTTTGAGGGCTACCTTCCTAGCTAAGTCTCTTGCCTCTATTTGCACTGAACAGTTGAGAAATATTGTGCCCTTTAAAAAGTAGAAAGCAAAATAAGACTAAAAGAAGACCTGTGATTACTTTTAGCAATGGTGGTGGGCTTAGTGGGGCACAGCACAGAGGGCACTGAGAGCAGGGAGAACTCACCAGGGCTTATCTCAAAGTATACCTTCTCCCCACCCCTCCCAATTCCGCTTCTCACCGCTAGTTATTGCAGAACACTTTTTATTTATTTAAGGGTATTGGGAATTTTAAAAAAAGCCTAATATTTTCTATGCAAGTCTGAAATTTTATTCCCACCTATATTTCAGTTAAGGAAATAGCACTACCATGTAAGTTTTACAAGTCGCACTGGGACTTGAAATCAATTTCCCCAAACCCAGAGTCCTGGGTTCTGATGCCATGTGTAAGAAGCGGTAACAACTGCCTCCTGGGAGGTTGTTCTGCTGAATAAGGTAACGGAATCAGTTTTCATCTTGTAGCCACTGCATTTGAAAAATGAAAAGCCACAAGTCTGAGTGTCCTTTTGGCTTTTATTTCTGTCTTCTCATACATAACCTTTCTTCTTGACAATTTAAATGTTGGGGAAATAACCTCTTGCTGAGAAATGCCTTTCCCAAAGTCTTTAAAAACTCACACAAACTCTTCAATGAAATGGACAACCCTTATCCAGAAAATTACTAAAGCAAACAAACACACTTTGTTCTTATAAAAACATCAAATTATGTAAAAGAGAAGAGCTCTCATACGCAAATGTTTCCTAAGTTTCTACCTTGACACTTTCCGTTCTTGCTTTGAGTCCCAGGATTTCACAGGAAAGGGACACTTCAGAGAACCTAAGAAGCTACTAGTAATCCTTTGCTTTGCTATAAATTTTTACACTGGCAAATACATGTTGCCCCTAAAATTTACAAAGCAATTAGATACTAAGCTAAGATTTATACACGCAGCTCTCCACACAAAGTAAGTTCCTCCTACAGCGTTATGACTGCGGAGGCAAACAGGAGCTTAGATCTCTCCTCAGAAGCCGGCAAGCCCTGTTTGTCATCAAAGTCCAAAATTACTCGGGGTATAAATGGATTTCTTGGCTGCTTCTCAAAACGTTGACAACAATAACACTTATGAAATACCGTGTTACATGTCTATACGCCTGTCAAATTCAACACAAATGCAAGCTCATGAGATACAGAACCAGGAAGTTTTTTTTCAATTAAAGCCCCTGAGTGTCAGAAATGGGAAATGTAATGCCTCAACTTCATTTACTCACGACCAACAATGACAGCTAATACAAGAGGAAAAACTCTGGCAATTTTAATAAAGCAAAGAGCCAGTCTTTTTTCCTGTATACCTGCAAAATTCACCAGAATGAAAGTCAGCATTTCTAGAAGAAATACATATTTCTTCCTTGGCATCCTTAATTCTGTAAGAATCCAACAATTTGTTCTGAGGCTGCCCATCCAAAGTTTGGCGAGGCCAGCAAGGGGCAGCAGGAGGAATGGAATGGGCAAAAGACCTGGGATTTAATTACCATGCATCCCCCTACAAGTAGCTTGGACAAGTAGCTTAAACCCAATCTGAATTTTTTCTGCTGTAAAAGGAAATATTCACAACAAGCATGCAGTACATTTTTGGAATAAAAATAAAAAGCATAGCAGATGTAAAATCACCTGGCACACAGTAAACATTCAAGAATTATTATTTGTAAACACTAAGATTACTGCCCAGTTAGGTGTGTCAGAAAGCATAATGCACTATTCCGCCCAGTTAAGTGTAGAGAAAGTCACTTGGCAGTGCATTTGAAGCTAATTAAAATATCTGATATGTCAAAAGGAAAAGCGTGGTGATTTTTTTTCTCTTTGCTATTTCCAGATCAGAACAGATTATATAATGATAAGCATTTGTTTTGGATATGGATGAATGGGTGGATGGATGCATGGATAGATGGAAAACATATGGATGAATGGATGGAAAACATATGGATGAATGGATGGATGGATGGATGGATGGATGGATGGACAGACGTATGCATGAATGGATGGATGGACAGATGGAGATTTGGGATTCTCCTTGCAAGACTATCAAAACACCCAAAGAAAGAGGAGAATATAACAAATCGTAATCTATTGTCTTTCATTTTTGAACCAGTGATTCCAAAGGAACTAGATGAACTTCTTCACAGCCTCCAACACAACTTTCTCCTTTTGAACACTACTAATTGAGGTCTTGGGTTTCATTCTCAATAGAAAATACTCTTGGGTTAAAATGCTTAACATTCACATACTCAGATATACAAGATACCAAAGAGCTCAAAAATTTCCAGAGACACATCCAAAAAGATAGCACATCTTTTTCTCATATAATTCACAACAGCAAAAGCTTTGGCCCTTACCTGAAGGTGGGTCCATTCTGTATTTATTCTCTTGACACCAACCAACTGGTCGAAGTCTGTAATCCAAGTAAAACAACCACTGGTCATAGGATTCAGTGTCCTCCAATCCCACATAGCGAAGGCGTAATCTTCCTCCAACATTTTCAATCACACTAACTATCCAGTACTGAAAAGGGTTCTGAGAATCCTGAAGTTCTATTAAGGAATCAACTGTAATGAGGTCTATAGGGCCTTTCCCTCGCAGAGGCTGTTTAAACAGAAGCAAAACTCCTTATTTTAAACTTTATTTTAAGGTTCTCATGGAAACAGATGACAGCAGAAGATAATATTTTTTCACACCATCATCCAAGCTATTGGCAAACAGTCTGGTGTTTCCCCTCCACCCCCATCCTTTCCACAGCCCTCGCCCCCTCCCCTTCCCTCTCCTCCCACACATACTTCCATTTACCCAACTCTGTCCAACAACAAAAATCACAAGTCAATAGGAAATAACAGTTTGTGCTATGTTCTCACCAAACAAATACCCTTCCCAGATAAAATTGCATTTGTTAGAAATGAGTACACTTTTAAGAAGAGTTATACTGAAATTTGCCTTGAGCTAGAAAACGTGTGGTAGCAGAATGTCTACTTTTCTAATAGACAGATATATCAAACATGAGACTGTAAGTTTATACTGGGACTCAACAGACATGTATCTTACAATGGCCACTGCTATAGTAATCAAGACCCTCTCATACTTTGAATACGTGCATAAAGCATGAACATGTGTAAATAACATGTTTGATACATAATGATATATACTAAATTAGAATATTATGTAAAGCTGTGTCTACATCTAACCTGATAGCTGGTTTAGAGAATAAATGCACTTACTGCCCTATATAAGCAACCTTCTTAGCATATGTTAGCATAAGAAAAGGGTGTTTGTTCAGTCAGGCTTGTAGGCAAATGTGTTTTTTTTAAAAAAAACCTAAAAGAGTAATATAATTTGTCCTTTTGAAAGGGTCAACAACCATCATTTTGATTTGTTAACCAAACAATTAAATTAGTAGCCATTAAGATAAACAAATACACTAGGCAAAATCTTCACAGAACCAAACCCTATAACTCAATATGTCAGACAATGGTGTTCCAAAGTATCAATATCTTTTATGACAGGACGGAAACTTATTGTTAAGGTTAAGAGAATAATGATATTGTCAACATCCACATTGTATTCCTTGTTATTCATTGTGTTTTCCCCTTTTTCAAGGGCATTCTTGAAACAAATATGGTAACACAATAATTATCTACAACACACCTTTTACTATATATAATAGAACAGGAATATAAAAATAAAATGTTTCATCAAAAAATTATTTACAAATGAACCATCAAGATTTCAGATTTAACTATTTTTTTCAGTACCATAAATTACCTTAATCATATTTAAATGTGGTTAGTCATTTGTCCTCTTGTTTTTATAAGAGAGGAGGTTAATTCAATTATTACTTATCATGTGCATATAAATCTTTGGGTTATGCATCCAGAATGGAATAGTTAATGAAACCATTTATCAATATGCTCCCAGATTATACTAGTTTCACCTGTACAAAACAGTTATTCTTCGGGATTTTATTTACATACACTAATAAAGGGTAGAGGCTTAAACATAAGATAGTGAGATGTTCTAATATAGTATTATTTTAAAATGTGTTCACATATTTTAAAGCAAATTCCCCATTTATTGACTGTAGCACAGATGAAGATTTTTCAATGCCATTAGAATCAGAAACCTAAGTAACTTAGGAAAAAACAATGTTAGTCTCTTTGAATATAGATACCTGTGTGTACGCATGTACCTGCGGAAGGATATATGCAAAGGTGCCGTTAGGTTTGAGTTCATGTAACTGATGCTTCACACATAGAATAGCTGTAAACAATAATACATACACCTTCCAGAAGGTTAGCAGGTGCTGTCCGGGAACCAGTCAAGTCACGAATGAGAAATTCTGTCCAGTCTGTGTACTTTTCTTTGATTGCTGGTGAAACAAAGGAGAGAAAACACTTCAACACTACTCAATTATCAAATAAACTTAAAAGGACAGCACTTTGCTGTATATGAGTGTTACTTCAATATCTCTCTTAATTTTAAGCACCAATCTTAAATACTAAAATCATAACAGCAAGTCTATCAACAATGGGTGTTCTTATCCACCAGGTGCTTAGATTTTGCTGGGCCTGAGGAGATTAACTAGGAGGTTCTAAAGTCTTGAAAACTATTTAGAAACTTCTGAGAACAACAAAGATATTATAAAGTATGTAATTCAGTTGGTTCCAAGAAGAAAGAGATCAATGAGGGCTGGCAGAATCAGAGAAAGTTTCCCAGGTGAGAAAATAAATCCAAGCTCTGAATTACACAGAAGGTTTATAGAGGCAGAGAAGAGGAAGATGGGACTTTCATATTGACAGGAACAGCACAGGCTAAGGAAAAAAAGAGGAAACAGTGAATCTTAAATTATAAATGGAAGCACTTACTATTAAGAATAAAAGACTACAGTGTTCCTTCCCTTGGAGATTTTTAAAAAACAACCTACATTAATTTTTCAGAGGGTTTGAATTAAATTGTTCCCATAAACAAGAGGATATATCCTGAAAGGATTCAACAGGACTGATAAGCTCCTACTCTGTGCAATGGACCCTGTAACATACTACTGGGGCTCAAGCACATAGATATACTTATTCCTCTTCTTAATAATAAATACAGCCCAGATAAAGATGAAACATTTGAAAAATTTTATAAAAATTATACATACACAGAGACACACACATTCCTTAGTACTTAGGAAATTCTATTTCAACTTTAGCGCTTTTTCCGTTGTACAAATATACTTGTATAATTACAAAAGGCAGTATCATTATTTTGCTCTGAAGGACAGGCTTTAACAAAGACATTACCTAAGAATTGGTGGAAGCAAAGGACAGACTTTTCACAGTGGTAACATCAGGTTAAAATAGGAAAGACAAGAACCTCAGAATATTCTCCATAATTAGACCACTTAATATTTATGTCATTAAAACCTCGGACAGTATCTATGCAAACCCTTAAGGGAAAGGCCTTTGCTATTTAACATTCTACACATTGTTATGGCATCATATGTGACTTTTAATGGAGACTCCTTCATTGGGCGGTTGTAAGCATTAAATGAGAAAATAAATATAAACTCCCCAGTAATTATCACACATTTACAGTATTAATCAAGCCCTGTAAAAAGTGTTCTTTGAATCCAGAGACATAGAAGCATAGAACAACACACTGTGGAATCTCAGAGGAAAGGGTGGGGGGAAGAGATCAACCAAAGAACTTGTATGCATGTATGCATAATGCATGGAAACAGACAATAGGGTGGTGAGGGCCTGGGTTGGGCTACAAGGGGTCAATGGGAGAAAAAAGGGACATATGTAATACTTTCAACAATAAAGTTTTTTTTTAAAGGGTTCTTTGAGAATGCAACTAACCATTCCTTCTTTAATGCACTGAAATACTTAATAACATGCTAACTTTTTTAAAAAAAATCTCAAACTGATGTAATTGAACTAATAATTTATTGCAATCCAAATTAAACTTTTAATAAACTTGTACATCAGATCATGAATACAAAATGATGACCACGGGAATAAAAATCACAGTATTTTATTAATTTGAAACATTATAATTAGAATAAAAATTCCTTCCAGCATATGATGGAACTTTTTAGCCTTCTAATCTTTTAATTTCCCTTCCCTAATGTGGGTATTAATGCTAATTTCACCATTATGATCACAGCATGAAACACTGACAAACTGGTAGCCCACACACAAAAATCTGCCTTATGGAAAAGAAGTCCTAATGTAAACTGTTATGGAAATCCAATGCATTTTTAGCTTCTATTCTTGTTTCTTCATATTATTATAAAATTGATTACCCATTATATAGTAGTAAAATGCCATCTCTCTGTCTAAGCATACTAGTAGCAATAATATTTTAACACAACAGGATACATGGTGCACAAAGATCATTATTCCACAGTCACTTATTCATGTTTTTATGAGGACAAGATCAATAGTGGAGAGATGATACACAATGCTTACATCAATATGAATGTTTACGCACACAGCTATTTATACTTTTTTTTAATTGATGCTACAGAGCAAAGTATAGTTCCTGTAGTCTACATTTCTTCCTCATCCAAATCAAACTTCTGTTCTTGCTGTTACACACAAAGCACCCCGAAACAAGAACTGCAGCACTGTTGAGACAGTAATCATAAAGCCCAGAATTCAAACCAGATTTCTTCGTACTTATATTCCAATCTGGCTTAAGCAGTTACTTTATAACTTTACTTTCATCAGTAAGTTATTCCTACAATTCACACAAGTCACATCTTACTGAAAAGTGAATTTATTCTAATAAGCTCTTATGGTATTTTATTACGCCTGTTTAAATAAGGCAAATACCTCAGTAAATACCAGTTTGCAGTAATGTATTGCTCAGGGGATTTGGGGAAATTGCATAATATTTTTTGCCAGCTCCTCAGAATGCATTCAACGCCATCTAGGGGAATAGCAGCAAGGAGTGCCCCCATCAGGGACACAGGAGGTGCAGTGGTGCTTGCCTGAGATGCCATCCTGCCTCCATGTCTATTCTCTGTCCCTAAAAACCACCACTCCCAATCTTGTTGCCCAGATCCAGTGACTTTCCCATTCTCTGCTATCCACCATCCCCATCTTTGCCTTATTCTGCCTCCCCATCTGTGCCTTTGGGAAACTAGAGTGACTGTAACTGCAGCATAAAGGAAAAACCTGAGCCACACCATCACCCACAAGTTCTAGAACCACCCTTCCCTTTTAACAAGTCACTTTGAACATTCTTTTCTGACAAGTCAATACCCCATTTCTTTGCTCCCCTCCAAAACCAAACTTACACTAAGATTTCTCTCCACCCACCATTCAACCCAGTCAACTTCCTCCCCCACAAACTACCAAACCACTGAACTGCATTTTTCTCCAAAGACCTGCACATCCCCACACCAATGCCTTCTCAAGCCTTACTTGGATATTTGACACAAATGACCACTTCCTCCCTCACAGTGTCCTCTAGGGGTCTCCTCTACTCAACTTCCGATGATTCCGCGTGTTACTTAGAAACTGGTCCTGGGCCGGCCCTCCTTTCTTCTCGCTGTGTGGTCTTCCGTGGACAATCTTATACATTCGCCTGACTTCAATCACATCAATACCATCAACTGCCAATTTCTCTCTACAAACCAGACCTCTTTTCTGAGCCTCAGAATCACAGATTCAATTGCCTGATTATCAGTGAGGTTTAGAATCATGACATTATGTTCATTCAGATTTCTTTTCTGGGAACTTACTATTTACATCCCTTGATCATTTTTCTATATACATATCTTTTTTATAAAAAAAATGTTGACTTTTAGGAGCTCTGTCTATATTAGATATTAATTCTTTGTTAAAAATAGCAAAGCTCTAACTTAGTAAATGATATGCAGCATGAGCCTTTAAAAAGAAGACATGAGATCACTTTGCTCAGCCCTTGAATCTTAGAATAGATTTCAAGCTCTTCAGCCTGGCTCGATGTCCTGCATGACTGGGTCCCTCTGCACTAATCTTCCTGTGCTGTCCACACTGGATTTCTCTAAACTCTCCTTCTACTGGGCCCCATTAGGGTTTTGCACACGCCCTTCCTTCTGCGACGAAACACTTTCTCCCCATCTCCTCATCATCTCACCCATCACTTCCTCCTTGACCTCTGCTAACTTCTAAAATCAACTATATTCTCTCCTAGAAGCTCAAATTCTTTCCCTTCATAAATTTAATGCACTTTATGATTATACGTTTGTACATTTGTCTGATGACAGTTCCCACCTGACTGTTCACTCCAGGAGGCTAGGAACCATCCACATACATTGTGTTACTTCTGTATACCCAATACCTATAACAACTGTACATAGTAGGTATTTAATAAAATTTTGACACTGGAAGGAAGGACTAACAGATTAGATGGTTCTATTAATTGTATCTGCTTCACTAATATTTTGTTCAAACAGAACTTATTGAATTCAGGTGAAGAAAAACTGTTACCATGGATATTACACGGTCCTTTCAGTAAAATACGATTTAACTCAATAGCACATTACCAGCATTCACAAATGAACTGCCATTTTTTTTTCTTATTTGCCTTGTTTCATTTGTTTGTGTGATATTAGTTGTCATTTAAGACTTTAGTTTCAGCATACATAACCCAAAAAGCCAGAGACCTGCCCATTTAATTGAGATGGCAATAATGTTTTATATGATAGGGCAGACACATAATACTTCTCTAGAGTTCTCCTTATGAGTTAGTACACAACATGAGTCCATTAGGCAACACAGATACTGTTCATTTCAGACAAAGACATCATCCAGAAATTAAAGAAACACAAGGTACTACATATACCGCCATACTTTATCCTTAAGGGACCATCTACTTTCTCTGAAGCACCCCAGAACCTCTTCGCACTAGAAACACCCAAGACTTACAAAACAAAAGCCATACAAATATCAACTAGATATGGCATTCTCTAGACACAACTCACATTACTCTACATCCTATTTCTAAGAGCCCAGAAGATAAAAAGCCTTTAAAACTATTAGAAGAAATTTAAAACCTTATCATTGTTCTCTGGTAAAAGATTTTTGCCCATTAGAGTATGGACTTTCTCTCATTCTCGCAAATTTTCTCCAATTCTTTTCTAGCTACTAATATCTCACCTTATAGACATTTCGGTTATTTGCTTTAAATATTTTCCTGCTTTAAAAAAATAACCTTCCAAAGAATCTGCCACTTTTTATTCTCCACTAGGAAAAACTTGCTACAGGTGTTTTATTGGCTCACACTATGGCAAAACTGTCAAGACTGAATTGACATATCACAAAGGTCCAGGGCTGTAGTTCAGTGGAATAAGACACACACACACACACACACACACACACACACACACAC